TGCAAATTTGCAAAAAAGCAGCATATGCATCAAAATAAACTATTTCCAGCAGTGCAATTTGAGTTCTAAGCATCCCAGAAACGACATAGAAAGTCATAAAGTCAAACATAACTTTTAAAAAAAGGGTCACGAGGCCCTGATGGTAAAAAAACTAAATTTCCGCAAAAATGATGTCACTTTCGGTTTCGGGCAGGTAATGGCTGACATGCGATAGTTTGCGCTGACGTCTGTTTCAATGTAGGAAGTGTTATGAACAGCTGATCGGATCGGCAAAGCGTGTTTCTGGAATATTATGTTTTTGTTGCTGCAAGCGCTTTTTATGCAGTTTTTGCAAAGCTATACGTGGAAGGAAACCGTGACCTAGGACAAGCTGATGGCATAAGATGTAAGTACAACTCCTCCGGTTTCATATGCAAAAAGATTTATTGCGCTAGCTTACGTGGTTGCAGTGCTACCGGGATTTAAAAGTAGTTGCGCAAAACGGAGCGTGCCCGCTCTGACCGGTTTTAAAGGGTTAAGGGCCATCAGTCAAACAGTATTGTTGTTCTGGGTCTAAACAGAGCGCGTTGTGTGTGACGTCTTCTTTTGCGCATGCGGGCCGCTTTGAGCGTTCACACTAGAGCGCGTTTACTGTCGCATTTTATTTGTAGTGTAAACAAGCAGACAAAAAAATCGGATTTGATCAAAAAATCGGAATTGAGCATTATGACCTGCAGTGTGAACGTAGCCTAAGTTGGTCATGGAGATGGGTGGCTGCTTGTGTGTGTAGATGTAAAGAGTTCCACTCAAGTGCACAATATAGCATTTTCATCATCGGGATGACCTTTGATCCTGAAACTCTCCTCTACTCAGACAACTCCACTGTGGTCTGATGGAAAGGGGCCAGCACAAGAAGTGCTTCCTTTACAATGTTACACTCATCAGCCGTAAGTGGAGTTAAATCTGTTGGAAGAGAAACAACAGATACCCAGACTGCTTCTTTCTCATCATGAAGCCGTGGCAGCATCTGATATGTGCTGTTCCAACGTGTTGGTATCTCGTTGATAAGTTTCGAGACGGGCCGTCCCATCTGCTGCGGCACTTGAGCAAGCTTTTCTTTGTCTAGATTTGTCTCTTATAAATGAAAGTTCAGGGATTTGACCACATGATTTCTTGACTAATAAATTGAGTTTGTGTGCAATGCAAACTGAATGTCGAATTTGGAGAGTTCTTGGTGCTGCATTGGTCACAAGACAACTTACCTTATTTGTGATGTCCAGTCAGCCATCATGCCCTTTTTGAATTGGGCCAAATTGTCTGCAGTGTGACTTTGTGGAAAGTGTTTCACACCCAACACAGATGTATACAAGTGCATATTCTCATTAATGTAGTGACAGGTAAGAGCCAAGTTAAGCCTCCATCCTCAAAGAGGTCCATATGTCAGCTGTTATACTCACTGCCACAGCTTGTGGTAATTCCATTTTCACTTGTTCGAGTTCCTCCGCATATTTTTTGGCTATCAATTCCTTGATGGTCTGGAGATGAAACAAAATTAAATCAGTATGCAGTACTTAACATCAGCTACCTGATGAAACATTGTCTATACAAACCTTTCTGGTTGGCAAAACATATGATGGATCAAGGACCTGAACCAGCTCCCTCAACCCCTCATTCTCCACTCTCCACGTCAGTGTTGCTGGACCCATCACTATTAAATGGAGTTCACTGAAAATGAATTGCTCACCTCTGGAAACCCGAAGAACTACGTAGTTTGCTTCCCTTACCACCTTCCTTGACGTTTGAGTCTGACTACCTCACAGTCATAATTCTCTCTGTGAGGGAGAAGGTATAGCCCCCTTGTGAGAGGGGCCAACATGTAAGAGTCTGTGGAATTTTCTTTGTCTGTGTCTCTGTGTAAAAGATGTAAGGGCAGCAGCCACAATTCAGAGCAGCTGCCCCATGTGGCGACCGCTCTGTCATCTGCATGAGATCCTTCCAGGCGGAGAACATGCCAATATCAGGAAGTTGAGGGCAGGAGTTAACCATCACCTGTCCACAGAAATATGGTTTCTTCAGCTCACCATCCTTTGGCTCTGATTGACGTAAAAATTCAGGGCCTTAGTGCCACAGGTGTGGTCGTGACCGCTCCTTCAAGGTCTTGCCCCAGGTAATGTCATCAGCAGGGTTTTTTGCACTATCTACATATCTCCAGGTACTCCCTGTAAGTCTCTGGATCTCCACCACCCGTGTGCCCACAAAAACTTTATAGCTGACTTGATCCAGTGGAAAACAGTAGTAGAGCTCAGCTTGAAGGAGACTAGCTAGTTGTGCACCAGTGAGAGCAGCACTCAACTCCAACCACGGCATGGACAACTGTTTCTTTGTTTCTGATCTAGCCAGTAAAAAGGCAACATAGACTTCTTTTGATCTCTGCTTGAAGCAGATGAATCAGCTGACACTGGTGCATAACATCTAGGGATTTCCATCTGGATAAGATCAGGAATCTCCTGCTCAGGCAAGCCATCTGTCACGAAGGCTAGGTGGCTGGATTGGGTCATCCCAGCCGAGCTGTTCCTTCCAAAGATCCTGTAACAGAATCTTGGCTTGTGTGGTGAATGGCACTATACTGTATAACCTAGCCAATCGTACTGACAGGTGAGTGTTTTGTAGACATTCCTCAGTGTGTCGATGTCTGTATTTGATGCGTGGTGGAGTTGGCGCAACAAAGCAGTGGTGTGGCATACCTCTGTATCCCATCAACAGTGACCCAGATTGTTGGCGTTGGAGTAGGTTTTAGAGCTTGCTGATCTTGCGTCGATCAAGTTACCTGCTTCTCGCTCACATAAGGCAGCATATCAATCTGACAAAGATGCTCAACATTCCTGAAAGGCTCGCAGGTCGGCACTGTTGTTGTGAACAGGCACTGCTGCTCGGATGCAGGGGTCTGGTCAATACTGGTAGGACCTTGGAGTAACCAACCAAGCTTGGTATAGACAGCGATGGGTCCCCCTGTTGGACCCAAATGAACTGGTTCTGTGGGTGTCAGGAGATGAGGCATGTCAGAGCCGATAAGCAGCAGAGGTTGAACATGGTCTACCAAAGGCAGAGGTAAGTCACGCAAGTGTTTATAGTGACGCTGGAGAATCTTCACTGGATGCAAATGTTCTGAGAGACCAAGAGCATCAGCGGTGAATGCCTTGTGTATATGATACTTCTCCCCAGATTTGTAGGGGGAGGATACTTGGAAGGAAACTGAGGCACTGCGAAGCTACACTACCTCTTGGTGGACAGTCCGCACGGTAAGTGTCTCAGACTGAGGGGTTCAAGCGTTGAACAGCTCGTGGTAAAATGATGCTTCATTCTGAGCTATCATCTAGTATTGCAAGAGTCTCCAGTGTTCGGTCTCCATTGTACAGCAATACCTTTACAACCTTTGGCATATGGCATATGTGTGTGTGTGCCCTGCAGGGGGTCTAGCGGCCTGGTAGGGTCCTGCGCAGTATCTTAGCTGTTCCTAGGACTGCACTGTTATGGACAGAGATCTCCGTAGTTGGTATCTGTAGCCAGTCTTGTCAATGATCTCATTGAGGGGGTCTAGGCCTATGCAGAACAGTAGTGGGGACAGAGAATCTCCTTGGTAGATCCCGCACCTGATGGTGACTTGTGCTATGGGCTTGAAGTTGGCCTCTAGTAATGTCCACCACATCTCCACTGAGTTCCTGAGTTCCAGCCTTATTTTAAGAGATAAATATATCGTCAAAGTTTATTAGATCTATTGCTAATAATTTGCACGTTCTTTTAGACACTGATTTATACACAGACAAATTCACGCAATTGGACTATGGTATGTGTGTGTCTTTGTGTGCTTCTTTTAAATAAGTTCTGTTTTGATGTCAGCGTTTTGAAACTTTGTAAACTTGCTACTTACAGATGCTATAGATCGAAGTGTGAGAAGAAGCATAAACCCATTTTTCAAGGCAATTTCGATGACATCATCTCTGTAGATCCTCTGGAGCTGAGTAACGTTGTCCGTGAAAGATCGCAACAAGGGGGAGAAGAAGAAGATGATGATGTTATTGTTGTTGACGTACACCAGGAAGAGAAGAATTTAAAAAAAAGATCTTAAAAGTGAAGGTAAACATGCTCAGGTCTCTGCCATTTTTTAAATACAAGAATATGACATGTAATTCATCCGATCCTGGCTCTAGCGCTCCTTCCGACCTTGAGTGGTATTATCGTGTACTAGATTGTCGCTTTTTGTTGTGTTTTTCTTTTCTTTTTCTTTTTTTATTTCTTGACAAAGGGAATCAGGAATATATCGAGCTGGGTCACCACTATAGACAATCCGGCAGAGGAGGAGGAAGGTAAATCGAATTGAGTTTTTTCTTTTTTTAAATACACAGGATATGACGTAGTCATTCAGCCGATCCATGCTATATTGCCCTTCCCGATCTGGAGTGGTATAACGTGTTGTAGAAAAGTTTGATCAATTCGCGCTCTCCCTCTCTCTTTAAAAAAATAATACATTCTCTGTTTTTTTTCTTTCATGCTTATGGTACCCAACAGAGGGAGTTGAAGCATCCCGAGCTCTCCCTCCTATCACACCCAAACCTTGCGGGCTGCACGTCAGGAGACTCGGAGGTAATTGACCGGGATGAACCGATCCTATAAATTTTAAAAAATTTGTTCAATTAAATTTTTAAGATAATTTACATAAAACTGGATATGTCACAATCTGATGTTGTATTAACAAAGCCCTGTAAAATGTGAATCAGCCCTATAAATAAATAAAAAAAATATGCGTAAACGATTCAAAGATAAGTGCAGCATCATTACCGGCAGGGGTGGCAGGAGGAGGAGGAGCAGCCTGCGGAGCATCAGCACGGAGGATCTCGGGTACAAAATCAAAACGAGGTTGTGACGCGTCACTATAACTTCTGCGTGCATGAGTGTTCCTCACTAATTTCCTTCCCAAAAACACTATAGCCATCCCCTCTCCCGAAAACTACGGGCGTCTGTCCAAAGCTTACTCACACGCGTCCATTCAGTGGTTGGAGTGGGAAGCTAAAATCCCTATTCCATACACGTTAAAGACGGAAAGAGAGAAAAAAAATAGGCCCATACTTTGTAGACGGTTACTCGGAGAGAGAGGGAGAGAGGTGGGTCTGGGAGTTTCTGGGATTCTTTTATCACAGCTGTCCTAAATGCCACAGGTCCGAGGAGATCTGCCCTCTGACTCGCACTCCGGCCAGTAGTACACTCACAGTAGCACAGGAACAGAGCGGGAGGGAAAGAGAGAGAAAGAGAGCCAGGGACAACAACAAGAGACAACATTGTCACATTAGAAAGGTATAGTAATCATCCACAATTATTTGTAGTTGCAGATGATAAAGAATTCAGAAAGTTTACACATGCTGTGAATCCTATGTGTGCAATTCCAAGCAGGAAAACACTCTCCCAAAAAATCATCCCAGGCTTATGTGAAAGAGAAAGTGCATCTTCTTTTTGTTTTGCATATTTTAATTTATATTTTATTGTGTTGTGGCTTGTGGCTCTCTTTCTCTCTCTGCTTTGTCTCTAGGGGCCACCGTATATATTTATATATAAACATTTATAAATAAAACCACGTTTTTTTTTTTACATTAATTACATTTTTTACATTAATTACATTACATTAATTCCTTTTGTGCATAATTTATATTGTTGTTGATAATAAATTAATTAAAGCAACAAAACAACCTGAAGAGCCGGTTGGGAACCAAAAGAGCCAGCTCTTTTTATTGAGTTGAGCCGAAAGAGATGGCTCTCTAAAAAAGAGCTGGAATTCCCATCACTACTACCAATGTGAGCTCCGGGAGCTGAGAAACGCTTACTGCGTCCACACGGTCGTGATGAGGGAGCACGAATAGACCAAAATGAAAAATCAAACGAGGAGGTCAAACAGTTCCTGCAGAGCTAAGACGCTCCCGAACCTTTGTCCCCTCGTTCTGCCCTTTCTGAAGAACTGAAGAAGAACTGAAGAAGCTTCTCGGATGAGAGGTGAAACGTCTTCAAGCAACTTAAAGAAGTCCAGACGCTTTTCTTTCCAAGCTCCTTTGACTAAACACAGTCGTTATCAGGGTGTTGTTGTTCAGCTCCAGCCTTGAGACCGCAGCTGGCGCCAAAGGGGGTATCCGCATGAAGTGATGGTGGTTTTTACTTTAGTGCGAACAGCTCATATGAATTTCAAAGCAGTTCTACAGTCCAACACTGGTCTCTCAATCTCCCGTTGGAGAGCCGCGAGCTTCGCCATACTCGCGCTCTGTGATGTTGTCATTTCTTGTGCTCAAGGAGCCGATTTCTGAGAACTCACGGCAGTGTGCCTCCC